CCTATGGCCCCCACACCATGATGTCATACCCTATGGCTCCCCACACCATGATGTCATACCCTATGGCTCCCCACACCATGATGCCATACCCTATGGCTCTCCATATCATGATGCCAGGAGTAATGCCGGTGTATCTCTCCACAACATTGGCAGGATTGGTCCTCTCCCCTCAGTGCTGCCATACGCGCACATGACAATCATCTGTGGTGATGCAGAATCGAGATTCATCACCTCTCATCATCATTCCACGCCACCCGGTTATGGCACCACTCCAAATGCAGCCGTCTCAGGGCTGGTCTTAACATCCAACATCAGGCGACACACCATCTGCATGCCCCACATGCCGGGCAATTGCATGATACGACCACCCGACCTCATGCAAACCCACAATGCCACCACTATCAAACTCTGTGAAGTACTGGTAATGCTGTCTAACGCCTCTAGGTGGCATCCTCTGTGTCTGGTGACTAGACGTGCCAGCTCCTTGCAAATCGAATGGCCAGCATATGTACCAAATTACATCCAAATCGGACCATTACTTCTGGTGGCTTAACTTTTTTTGTCAGCGAGTATATATATTTCAGGCCATGAATGTGTATCTCCATATATTTCTCAAACTTAGTTACACCAAAATTAAACACAAGATGTAAATCAAACATGTAATACGTACATCCATTGTAAACTGGTAAACTCCATCTGTAATTTCACTCCTAAGTTTCATGTGTGGCTTTACAAATTAGTGAAAATGTCTGACCATTATAAGATGTAATAACAAGAATTTATTAAAGACCCAAGAAAATGCTTTGGTACAGACAACAGAAATGTTGCGGAAGACATTCATGACCTGAACTGCATTATTATGCTACTTATTAGTTATGTCTGTCCAAAAAGGACAGGAAACAAAAAACAGGCACAAAACCAAAATCAAGCAGAAAATTTTGCCATCAGTTTTCAGAACGGAAAACAGATTCGCTGAGGAGAAACATGAAGATTTCAGTCACAGCTACACCCTAAGAAGAACAGGATCCCTTAAAGGCCGTTTAGGGCAGCATAGAAGGCAACAAAGTTATGAGTCTTTTATTTTTTCCAAGTGCAATTCACAGGGGTACAATTCTCAACAGACCCTTTGGAACAGCGACCTCTGCTGACAGGACAGGAAATGAGACAGGGACACTTGTATCCTGGGTCAGGTAGCGGTAAACATGGCCAGGTCCTTGCTGTTCTTGCGGTGAGAACACGCCAACCTCAGCATGTCTCCGCACCTGGAGCAGCGGGAGTTGGAGTTGCCCTCTTTCCTGGGGATGTACCAGCACTGGTGGCACCGGACCCGGTATTTCTTATACCTGCAGGGAGCCGACAGGGAGGAGTTCGACCGGTGATGGTCTTCGTGGGATGCCAGCGAGCATCATGCGAGCTAATCTCCTTCATTTCAAAGGGGATGTACTGGGCATTCAAGGCCATGTAGTGGCAGGAAATCAGACCTTCAGTGCACCCTCTATGTTTGCAATGTGACATTTTACTATCACACAGCGCTTTACATTTGAAGTTTACATCTTTCCTCTCTTCATGGCACCATCACCTTCATATCGCTACGGGCTCAGCGCCATCGTGACACTGCGTTGCTGACTATTGCTTAACATTTGTTCTACGCCACACTGTCATTCTGATATCGCCGTGACTCATGCACGTTGAAATGAACAAACACAGACGTCACTGTCTCTGCAGTCTGTCCAGTCCTGGTCCTTGCTAATTTTCTGACATGCATGCAGGTCTGCCCGGTGCCATGTTTATGTTGAATGAAATTCTGCGCTGTGCTATGGCTGAAATTATTTCCAGTTTTCCGGCTGCGATGCCCCGAATACTTACATAGAGATAACAAAACCGTATTTTATTTCTAAAACAACGTCCAAATGGAAACACGCTTTTAACTATGGCATCAACACTGGAGATGTTACCGTAAACGGCTTTAAAGGTCCGTTTAGAGACGTGGTACACGTTTGTTTTGAGAATGAGAGATGGAAAATATACCCAGCCGAGAGAGTAAACGGCACCTAAATGATCACATATGTGAGGTCGTTCAGCGACTTGCGCTGGGGTCATTCACCTTATGCCACAGGCGTTACATAAAGGGGTTCCATCCTCTGCATCTCGCCACAGGGGAGTGGTCTTCGTATTGCAGGAAGCACATGTCTTGTTCTCTGAATGAGGGAAAGGGAAAGCACATAATCCAGCCCAAATTTTTATATTATCCATCCGTTTTCCATAGCCACTTATCCAGAACAGGATTATGGAGAGCCTGGAGCCTATTACAGGAAGCACAGGACACAGGGCAGGGAACACCCTGGTCAGGACGCCAGGCCACCACAGAGCACACATTCACACACACAAACACAAAAAAGGGAAATTCAGAGAAACCACTCCAGCTGAACTGCACGTCTTTGGATCGTGGGAGGAAATCTGAGTACCCAGAGAAAAGCATTATGAACTGTGGGAGAGCATGCAGATGTCATATAGAGAAACGCTGGCCAGAAATCAAGACCACAACTTTGGACATATGGGCCATGGAACTACCCACTGGGCCACCATGCCACTTTCATTTTTAAAATGTATGTCATACACATTTAGTCTTCATCTTCATTATTTGATAGGTCTGCAAAATGCAGTAAAATTTTCACAACTACTTTTTCTCTGTCCTGGAAAGATCCAAAAGTCACAAACATGTACATTATTGATTTGAACCTTAATAACATACTGATTTTTCAGACTATGTTAAGATTACACTTTTAAGTATGCCTGTAAATTCTCATGTGTATTTGTGCCCAGAACATGCGCTGAAATCATCGTCATGTAGAGCACAAGCATCACAATGTTCGAGACCCCAAAAGTAAGATCCCTCAACTTCTCCGTCACGTGCTGCCAGAGACCAGCGGTACTCACTAGAAACGCTTACAGGGTCGATATCTTCCTCCGAGCTGCTAGTTTTCAGGGAGTTTATCAGAGATCGCATTCGGCTGCCTCTCCCCCTACGTCCACTCTTCCAAAATTCTGCACTGGAGAGTCACATTTTTGGGATAAACAATAAGAAAAAACAACTAGCTAAAGGTGAAGAAAATATGACTGGTTACACTTTGTGGGGACCACACACTTGCATGTGGCCATTTTAGGGGACCTTGCTAACTGATGTTAGTAAATAGTGAAACTAACTGATAAAGATAAGTGGAAACGGAATGAAGACTGCAGGACCATAGCTGCAACATGTTACCTGTACTTCGACGTGATGAGAAGTCGACATTGGTCCCTGTTGTCGCTGAACTCTGTACGCATACGGAAGGAAACCCCTTGAAAGTCAGGGTCACAGAGATCCGCACTGCGGGTAGGATGACGCTGCTTTCTAGGGGTTCTGCCTCGCCAGCTGGGGCCAACAGCCACCTTGGCCACCTGAGGGTCCACAAGCCTCAGAGTTGCATCATCCCTATTGCTCCTATGGGCATTTCCAGGAGATGATGACGTATCCTTAACAGGAGCTGACTTCCGATTCACTGTGTGAAAGTCCCTGCTTAACTCTTCTGAGGGACTCCCAGGTCTCTGCTCATTAATATGTGATTCTAAAGGAAGAATCAAATTAGAGTTACAGTCCACTTCCATGCTGGGGCCATCCAGGTCAGCTGCAGGAATGGATGAGCAAACTGCAGCATCCGGGAGCAGAAAACTTTCAGGTTTAGTAAAGAAATTCTTCCCCTGCTTTTGACAGTTCTGATAGACAATGGATGCCAGCAAGCTCAAGCTTTCTACTGGAGGGCTACATTTATCCAAGAAGCAAGTCTCTGTTCCCTCCAGGTCAGGTGCCTTTGATAGACTCCCAATAAAAGAACATTCCTCCTGACTTTCATTGCATAAATGATACCTGTGTTTAAGGTTGTATGTCGTACCTGTATCATTGGTTGAAAAATGTGTCTTGCCATCTTCCTGGGTATCTTCTGGGTAAATGATTGGGCACTGTTCATTTTCACCTTCGAACACTGAACTCTGTACTAAAGTGGAACTGTGTGAGACTTTGCTTGATCTCTCATTGTAAAACGAAAGGTCAGGACTGCTTTCCCCGATGGGCCTCACTTCCTCTTCCATGGTCCTGAAGCACCATGGTTCACTTTTCACAGTTTTGTTCCTGACACTCTGTGAATGTGCATGTTTGCCTACCTCTTGAAATTCTGACTGATCTCTGGTGCGGTCGGGAATTGTGTCCCCCCTGAGATAGCCAACAGAACTCTTGTGACCAGATGTGGGCAATAATGGTGTTTCCCTTCCCTCTTCTCCATCCTCGCTTACAGGATGCAGAAGCCGTTCACACTGCAGGTTGATCAGACTCATTACCTCCCAAGGGCTACTGCCCTGCTGACTTTGTATAAAGGAGAAAGACCCAGAGTATTTCTGTTGTGATTTAGGGGTTGTTTCTACATATTTACAGGGCTGTACAGAAGGTACAGGAGGACAATAGGCAGAAGCTACTGGGGAAGAAGGATACTGCTGGCTTTGTTCCTTGGAACATGTCCCATTTGTCAGTCTCCATTCCAGAGTGTCTTGTTTGGCAGGTGGTGCAAGCTTGGTAGCTTCCTGGAGAAGGTAGAGTATGGTGGACTGAGGAACTTGGTCATCCTGGACATCCAGGTCTTCTCTGGTGCCTTCACTTAAAGTGGCTGGGGTATCAGAGCCTGTGCTCATTCTTCTGTTTCCATTAAGACAAACAAGCAGCCCTTTAACTACCATTCTGGATTTTAAGTCAAACTTCCCATATTATTTGGGTTGATTTTATTTTAAACATAAATTCTACATAAATAAGTTGTTATACAGTACTGTGCAAAAGTCTTAGGCATTCAAAGAAAATGAGGCTATTTCTCAGAGTAGTAAGTATTTATGCTCAGAAAAAGAGCAACACAATTTACCATTAGAACATATGCAACATATGACAGTGACACAATAAAAAATAAGCAAGAATTTATTCTATTCTTCAAAAAGTTATTGTTTTCTTGTTGCTGGACAACGATTTGGTTCCCAAAACTCTCCTCTGGGGCATCACAGCCATTCCTGTATTTGTTAAATTTCACTAATTATATTATCCAAACAAAATGGGGTAGTGGTCGAGTAAAGAATACATCGGTGTATTAGACAGTTGATACAAATACTGGGGTGACATTAGGAGAGGTTTTGAAACGGCTAAGCACAAACACTTTGACAGACAGCCTACTATGATAGTTTTACAACAAAATGAAGATCATTTAAACATTTTCTTTGGCTCCTTAAGATTTTTGCTCAGTACTGCATGTTCTGGGTAAAATATTTCAAAATAAATTTCTCCCGTATATATTACCACGATTTTGTACACACAGAGACCTTATGCCATCCTCTATTTTAATACAAACACCCGTTTTTTTAAGTGTTGAAATTTTGTGACGTATTCATGAATTATTAATCCACATATTTATAATTAATTTCAGTTCAAATTAAAACTTGGGAATGGTGACTTAAAATTCTGCAGTACAACTGGTACCATTTTTAAAAAACTAAGCCTATCTGACCCAAATCTTATAAGCAGAAGGAGCAAATAATATATTTTCTGTAGTCTGGTAACTAAATGTTACAACAATTAGTTTCACTTAATTTGACTATTTTTACAGACATCGCAAAATGTGTTATATACTCACGTCAGTAGCTCATTCGTCAAAACACGAAATATCGTTGGATTTCAGTTATAGGAGAATACGTCTACGATCTGTGAGTTATATGTATGACCCATATTGAATATTTAGGGTTCGGGTTTATTTCAGAGGCCGTTTGGCTGGACTGTATCATTTCACCTCAGACATGGTAACATTTACAGCTCTAGAAGGCTGCAGGCACGCGGCACGCGAGCGCCTCGAGCTCACGTCCACGACAAGGCGCGTGCATTCCGGTCCCGACGTAAAAGCCCCGTTTTGACGCCGATCGCACGCTCAGTGCGACTGAAAGGGGAAAACATGCAAATCGGGAAGCGATTAAATCATCCACTCACTGGCCGCTCCATATCAGTGGATGTCAGATTGGATTTGTTGAACAACCAACCGTTAAAATCTTTAACACACCAGTAGTCTACTGATTCACTATCATGACATATTACCATTTTATCATTCGTAGTCTTTTTGGTGGTTACTAGTTACAGTAGTCGATATCAAATATTTATATTTCAAGTACGTAGTAATTAGAGCGAACACAAAATCTGATCTCTGAAACAGCATGACAAATACGAAGCCTGAGAAATGAATGCATGCAGATGTAGCACGGAATTGTTTTTCGTAGTTGATTCCTTTTATATGCAATGTGTATTTCAATGGATTTTCGATTGTTTGCTATACCATTTAACTGTTTTCGTTCACAATGTGGCATCCATATGTAAACATAGATATAAGTCCAACACTATCGAACTTAATACTTACTAAAATCGGATTCGCTGGTAGTGATCCTGCCAACTGTAACTTCCAGTGAACATTTTTTAAATTAAACTTTGAACGAACTGTTTTACTTAGTCACATGTGTAAAAGTAACACTTCAACACACTACGCCATCAGAACTGACGACCGGTGAGTTTCTTCAGGTGAGTCTTGTTGAAGCTAATAGTCTGTGACGTAAAAAGGAGATAGCGATAAGGCATAAAACATTTGTTTGGGGGTACCACCTGTTTCTCGTGTTTTCAAATGTCACGTCCAAATTCTTCTTAAACTTAATCTAGATGACTAGTTATGGGGTTATTGTAATGCCTTATAATAAGCACGGTTGAGGGAGGGGGACATTATGGTGGCTATATAGTCGAAGTACGAGTTCAACTTGGTTTTTACATATAAAACAATACTGTAGTGGTTTTCCTTTTAGGCAGAAATTGCGCTTTCTTTTATGTTGTTTCACCCAAGCTGTAAGCCGGTACCTATAGCTTTTGGGCTGTACCGATTGCCGGCCCGACGTTCCTACTAACATCTACAAAAACCTGCATACTTTCGACAAACTATTTGGCTTTTACCAGGTGAGATATGTCCTGTCCCCCCCCAAGTAGGCTTCTTAGATGTCCTGTAATTTATGCTGTGTAAAAGAGGTGGTTCGACTTTTCGCCGAACGATTTAAAGCCCACCACCCACGGTTCTACGATCGTGTAAAATTTACCCACCACCCTGAAAAATTTACCCTAAGCCACGCCTCCCCCTTTTTTCAGGAAAAAGTTTGAACATGAAAAGCTTACCTTGACTGCAAAGGGGTGAAACACCTTGTGTATATAAAAAAAAGGATTATTATTGGTGTGAGAATGATGCTTTTTATTTCACAGATCAAAAACAATGTCATGGCCTGCAGCTCATTAAATATATTAAACATTTGTGCGTATCTTGCTTGACAATCTGCAGTACATTTTTTTTTAAAAAAAGGTGGTGGGAGAGAGTCAGCTTGGACAACGTGCAAGTCATAAACATCAGCCTTCCTTCCTGAAGCTGTATTTGTACCAAGGTATGACCCTGAACTGCAAAAGCTAGAAAACATGTAAACTAAAATGTACATGACTAAATTCTGCAGCTGTTAGAATGGCTAAATAATTGGTGTGATAAGTATCTTCCAACTTGCCCACTTTCACAATGACCTGGCAGAGACACCTAATCACACCCACAGGCGGAACTTGCACACGTCCGAGTTTGCATTGATGTAGGCCAAGGTTCTCCAGTTCCAGTCCTGAAGGACCAGCATCCAACAGTTTGCAGATTTCCTTGCCGAAAACACACCTTGATCGGCTAATTACCTGAGTTAGTGGGTGTGTTTGAGCAGGGAAATCTGGAAACTGTGTTGGATTCTGGCCCTCCAGGACCAGGACTGATGTAAACCTTTTAAAGATACTTGTTCTCCCCTGAGGAACTTAAAGACTTCTATTAAGATCTAGTTGGTAACTGCCTAGTTTTAGACTTGTCATTTTCTGTGTTGACTAGCACGGTTTTGCTAGAAGCTTGTGATGTAACAATGAGCCAAAACCCAACCCCCAACCCCCCCCCCATCCAAAAGAACTTGTTTGAAACTGACCAAAATGAATCCAAAGTTAGCCATATTAAAGATGCATATGCTACAACTATTCTGTTTGTACCAGCTGGCATTTAAGAGAAAGCAAAGTAAGCCTGGTAGTTTGAAAGAGTCTTAGACGACTGTGGGTGAAGCTGCTCATGTCACAGTGAAACTCATAAATAGTGCTGACATCTTGTATCGTTTGCGTCACACATACTATTGGTGCGTGTTTTTGTGCGTTTGCCGTTTTACGCCTGACCGCTGTATTGCGGAATGTGTTGTTCAAAGCTGGCCGTGCTGGGTCTCTGGTCCATGAAAGTGGAGAGCCAGGGCTGTGAAAGCTTAGGCCTTCGCTCGTCATCCTCGATTTCCTCGAGTGGAATGGCAAGATGGCCGTCGTCTTTAACAAGAGCCCGTCCCTCTCACAGCTAAATGTCCAGCCTTCCATACACTGGTCAGCCATGGTAGCCCGAATTTTACTAAGATGTTAAGCTAACCTTCGTAAATATTCAAATGCCATAAAGTTCAGGACAACATTCTGTGCACATTTTTATAAATTTTAGCCAATTGGTGAGCTTACCCCAGGACCAAATTTGGCCACCTGACTTTGTCTGAGCTTTTATGCTCCTGTTGAGATGGTTAAATATTAACTTTTTCAGAGATCCACACTTTGCAGCCTTGAACAATTTGTACACACACAAGTACAGTCCTCCCCATACAAACTCGTACTCTTAAGCATCTTCTGTACAGAGATCTTGTCTTTCACTTTGGCATCCAAGGATCAGGAGAACAATCAAGTTTGACTCTAAACTCATTCATCCACTGTGCGTTTCTGTCTGGCACTGGGTCTCTCTCTCAAAGGTGTGTAGGGATTGCAAGACCACCTTCTCTGACCTGCCCCTCCTACACATGCAGAAGAACATGTCTGAAATAACGAGGCCTCCCCGGCCTTTCAATGGTGCTTGGGTACGTGACCATCGACATAGAAGTTGCGGGTGACCCTGGGGAGTGTCAGCTCAATGCCGTCAAGCTCTGGAGTCAGGATGAGCTGGCAGCCCAGGCGAGAGCTCTCCTGCAGCGCTGGGGCCATATCCAGCATGTCATCCTCCCTGTCAATCAAAGCCATTAGACACGATTTGGTTTGAAGGCAATGAAGCTAAATAGCTAATATATTATGCTGCTATTTACAAACACATGTCCGCTGAAATACCACTTTTACCACAGCTACTGTAATGACCGTTTTGACAATACGGTGACAGTTGATCAGGCAGCATTAGCGTACGATACCTCTCGTCGGGTTGTGGAAGTTTGTCATAATACTCCGCCTTGACGTACACGTGGCATGTGGAGCAGGCTAGTGAGGCGTCGCAGGCTCCTGAAAGGCATTGTGGGTAAGAAGCTGGCGTTAGCAGAAGGGAGAAAAAAGAATGTCGGCTATGGAGCCAGAAAAAGGATTATCTAATCATCTAATTACTGACAATCCCCATGAGAAGCATCACCTGAATATAATAAAGCAGTAAAATCAATTTATGTAAATAAATTTCAATGTGTAACTTCAACTGGCCATCTGCACCATGCAAAAAAGCATTAATGTACCAGGCCTCAATAGGCCTCAGATTTTGTTGGCAATAACAGCTGATTTTTCACCGATAGCACACACAGTAAAATGCTGGTACACCTGTTATTTCACGCATAAACTTGTCCAAACAGGCCAGCACTTACCTTCCAAATCAATGCCATGCTGTTGTGCCAGGTACAGGACATTATCTCCAACCTTAGCCTTCACGGGAACTCTGTTCCCTGATCGGTCTATGAACACCACATTAACCCTAAACACCAGAATAAAGACAATACTGTATTATACTAATCCATTCAGGCTGTTCAAATCACCTTTCAGAACAATGAAACATAGTTTCATTTAATGAAATCTCAACTGCAATATGCAATAAAACGCAGTAAACCCTTATCGCCGTTAGCGCGCCAAATCTTTAAAATGGAACGTAGTTGGTGCTGAAAGGTAGTGACGTTCAAAGAGGAATGACACTCATATGCATTTCGGGAGAATTAAATGCAACCAAAGCTCGTATAAAAAATTAATGACTGTATAAACAATAATAAATGTGCAGGTACGCATACGCAGCACGTGACATCATCACATTGACCCCGGATCGTGCAAAAGTGGAAGTAAGTTTTACTACCATGTGGTAATTCAACTTCTGGAAATAGTTTCCATCGTCATACAGAGCCATAGCACTTTAGTTATAATACTTCATTCAAATGTTCAACAGAGTACGCGAAATGACGTACTTGTTACATTATAACATCTTTTTTAGAGAAGGAGGCGTGTAACTCTGCTTGGTGAAGTTACCACGCGACCTTGCTGTTTACACAAAGAGCATCGCAGACCGCACGCCAGATTGTACCCACACATCCTTTGGATCATCATCTTGTGCGTCTTCGCCTTCAGAGTGACACAGACCTGTTGATAATTTTGAAAATACAGAAAAGGAGAACTGTTACTTCATGAAAGCCACCGATCGCAATTATACCACCAATATTGAACGCGACTATAGTATACAATGTGGCTGAACCCAACAAATCCTATCCACTCCAAATTGTCGGTATCGCGTAATTTCGACTTGGAGAGAACTAAAATAAGTACGGAGTGAGCTGCCCAACTAGGATAAAAATCCTAAATTTTAAACTCCCGTGAGTAACTGCTCTCTTTAATTTACAGATTACATACACATAGAACACATACAGCATTCTGAATCATCACATAAATAGAAAGAACAGTAAATTTCCCGTTAGAGGCTATGGCACAACGTGCTGAATTTTCAAATAAATCATATGACAGAATTTTTCAAATCATCGCCATGGTAGAGGAAGATTATGAAACCTACTTTTAGACGTTTTCAGGCTCCTATTCGGGATCCGAAAACCGCATATGGAGTCTCCCGTCGCGGACCCATAAACAACGTGAATGCAACTATTTATCCTGTGAAAATTACAATTACCAAGCCGGAAAAGTCTCAAAGTCAGCCCCACGCTCCTCCGGGCTGCTGCGGAGGCCGCCATGACAGTGTTTGTGTCACATGTTTCAAAAGCACCAATGCGAATGATGTACTGTAAAACGGGGCGTTCATTATGTTTCACATTTTCAATTCGTTAACAATATTTTCAGTAGCTGTGAAACACAAGTTAAAAGTAGTCTGTCTGCCTAAGAGAATAACACGAGTTCGTTTAATTGTACAATTTTAATAACTTGTTGCAGTTATATATTTTAAAAATGTTGTAAATGTATTGGTAAATTGAGCTGCGGTAACACAATCGTGCCAGCAGAGAGAGATGTTGCAATAAAAACAAACAGTGCACAGCTTACAAAAGCAAGATTAGGATTTATATTAGTATTGGATAAATACAAAAAGTATTTCATACAGGAACGGAAAGATCTACAGCAATAAAACGCCAAAAATGGTAATATGCCATTTTTTCATTTCTCTCAAGATAACATATAGAGTCTTATAATACTGTTTAAATATTTCTTCTTCTTCTTCTTCTTCTTCTTCTTCTTCTTCTTATTATTATTATTATTATTATTATTATTATTATTAACACATAACCATTACAAAGACCAAAACAACTCCGGTGAGTAGTTGTCAAGATACCATACGTCTATCCATGTTCCAACCTCTTATCTAGCAAGGACTGGACATAGCAGGGTAACACGCTGGATGGGCTGCTAATTCTTCACAAATTAGATGCACAATGGGAAATGTAGGGACACCTACCGCATATTTTTTGCACTGTGCTGCCACGTACAGCAATCGGACTACCCACTGAGGTGCAAAGACACCATGCATGACTCCTGAAATGCTTTTATTTACGTGACCTAAAGTTGCACGATATATTTATCACCACAACTGTTGTAGCTGTTCTAAGTGTCAGGTGAGGGCTGTATTAATAAAACAGCTAACTAATTGCTATCTATTAGTACAAAGTACTAATAACGAAGTTAAGATTATAGTTGCCCATGCCTGGTTTTCAGTAATCAGTAACAGTATATGAGTACAGTGTTTTAAACGGCAAACGTGCTCTGTGCCTTTAGAGAAAACGGTTTCAGTGTTACTCATTAAAGGTCAATAATGAGTCATTACTCCCCCTGTTGACGGCTACAGCGCATATTTCTGTCACATTAAGAGTTGTTAGGACGCTGTGCGGTGACGGGCACGTGCCACTTAGGAATGACAAGCTGCCATTGATGCTGTTAGATTGTATATGTTAACTGTGTAGGAGATCATTTGGGAGGTTGGGGCAGTGGGTAACGCTGTGGCCTCGCTCCCTCAAGGCTGAGGGTTTTCCTCCTGCCCCCCACCCCTGCTTGTTGGGGGTGGAGTTTGCATGATCTCATTATGTTTGCACAGGGCTCCCCCAGGTACATTGGTCTCCCCCCACCTGAGGATAGTGGAATTCCCTGTAATATGTGGTGTGTGTGTGTGTGCGTGCACAGGTGGGCATGCACCCTGGGATAGACTAGCATCCCTTCCTTTGCCTTTTGTCCTGTGCAGGGGCATCGGGGGGGGGCATGGATGTTCTGGCAGATTCAGGGGCCCCAGGACTTGATGTGGCCCTTCAATACGTATAATTGGGCATCAGGGCCCATGGTCACATAATTTTTTATCTAACAAAATTTCTAGCCCCACCCCACCCGGCCCAGTGTTTCCAGGTGTAGAATCCAGGCTCGTCACGACCCTGGACTGGATAAGCTATTATGGCAGGTGGATTTACAAGAGACAACTTTTAAAAATAATTTAAACTGAGCTGAAGTTAAAACTTAATGTTGGCTGAGGGAGGAGAGTTTTGACCTAGGACAGAATTTGTAAACTACCATTACACTTAAAAGGACCCAGTTTTCATTTAAGCACTGAGTTGTTGCTGTGTGCTGATTGGTCAGTCTTCTATAATCATGCATGTGTCATGAATGTTAATGTGAAACAGCTGGGTGAGTCATTCTTTCAAGGAAACAAACCAGTCAAAGTACATGAAGAATAATCTATTTAGCCGAGCAGTTTTAAAGTAGTTTGTAAAACCTGAAGGAGCTCAAAGTGTCCTCCCTCACATGGATTGTCTGGTCACGCTGTCTAATGCCCAAAATGCTGACATTAAGGCATTTTGCACCTGCAGCTCTGTGGTCTGCCAGCCTCCTTCCCTGAGGCTAGTGCCACCTGCTGGCATGAGTCATCATGAAACTCCTGCACTCACTGCAACAATGTATGAAGCAGCTCTCCCGCCTCGGGCGGCCGAGTGAGCGGCCTGCAGCAGCTGTGCTTTGAGTGCTCAGACGCTAAGTCACTGTTTGTCTATTAACCTGTCCGACGTCCATAAAGCTTCGCAGCCTTTAATTGTGATGTTTGGATGTTCTTTCTGTCCTACGCACCTGCTCACCGAGATGTTTGCTCTGGTTATGACAGTCACACGGGCTGTAACCACAGCGATGGCTGCTGTCACGTCTTATTTTGCCCGGCGGCCACAGCTGAAAAAACCTCCGAACTGCCGCATGACAGGTCTAGTCCCTGAAAAACACAGGGGTCCCACGCCTATGTGCAGTTTTCAAACCCAAAGTCCCTCGTCTATAAACTCAGGCTTGAGACACTCTGCCTTTGGTCAAACTCTCCCCACAAACAGATGGAGGCAGGTGCGAGGCTACAGCGCTACCAGCTGAGCCACCCTGAAATGCATCAGCAGAGCTGGAAAGTTCAGGTCCAGAAAGTAAAAGTCCAGTCCAAGATTTTGTTGCAGCCAACCACTTGAGCACTCTCTGACTGTGACTCTTTATACTCGACTGGATGGTTGAAACAAAATCTTGGTCTGGGTCTGTACTTTCTGGACCTGAACTTTCCACCTTTGCACATTACTTCTTTCAATCCAGTTTGCAGATGGCCACATGACTTTAATATAATTTGGACTGCCTTAGTCTGTCCCAGGTGGCACTGAATACCAAGGGTGATGGTTTGGTTTCATAACTGGTGGGGACAAAGCCAGCCCTGATATCTGCGCCCCCCAAAAACAAACACAGCATCCCCACAATATTGTAGGGAACCTACCATCCATACCCAAATCTACACCCTTGTTGAAAAACATTCTATTTTCTAGCTAGGGGGCACATCACACTTGCTGGGAGTTTATTCACATTAATAGGCTGTAGCTGGCACTGAGTTCACCCAGAGCTAGTGGAGCTTTCAGGGTCTGTGGATGTTATGACTGGGGGTTTGTTTGAGTGTCCTCTCCTTCAGGTTTTGCACATACACCCAAACATTCAAGGGGTACGATGTGGGATGATTACTTTAGAAGCAGCGCCATGCAGATTTAGTCTCAAGATTACCGCTTGCACGTGCGGCGCCCGTCTCGTGTGATTATTCAGCCTGTTCCGCCGTTCTGTCTAAGAAACCGTCCCTGGCGCTAAATCTTGTGTGTCGGTTTGGGGTGGGCGTGTTTTCCTCAGTGTTGACAGGCTGCTATATAGCAAACATTGAGAGGGCGGAGCTTAAGAAGTGCAGTCTTCCCGCGGACGTTCAAATGATACCTATGTTTACAGTCTGGAATAAAGCCCAGGGAGGTTATCTGCATTGCTTTTAAAATGTGTGGGAGGAGCCAAAACAGGAAACTCCTCAAGCTATAGGCTTAAGCCCAGAGTAACTGCGTTAATTAGTATATACAATAATACACACGTATAAATAGTTCACACAAAGCTCTATATGAAAGTGCAGAACCTCAGTGTACTCACAGCCCTGATTTATATGCAGTATCTTCTTTTAGCTGTGATGAGCTAATTTAGACCTGGGGCACTTTCAGGGACAGTCACCAGCGATGTGTGGGCCACAGCCCCATGGGGAGGGGTCCAGACCTCGCTCAGCCAGCACGCTGAAACCTTGCTATTTCCAGACAGCCCCCCCCCCCCCCCCCCTCCTTCGGCTCTGCTGAGTTCTCACAGCTGTGACTGTACGCAATCCCAGGGTCATTCTCACGCTAAAATGTGCCCCACCCTCCCCCACCCCGGACAGTCGTGCGTAATAGCCCCTTCCTGTATGCGGCGTTCCTGCTCGTGGAATACTGGGCCCCGGTGCCATGACATGTGGCAGACTGGGGCTTCAGCGCACTGTACTGGGAATACTCTGTATCCATAGAAACCAAGCCTCCTCAGTTTACTGCCCCCAGCTGGACAAAACAGCACAAGTCAAAAAATAAAAACCCAGTACAATCTTAAAAAAAAAAAAACATAAGGAAGACTGGCGTTCATTATGCATGATTTACAAATAAATCATATATAACTAAGCAAATTAAGGATATCACATTATATTATGTGTTGGTCTGATGTATCACTTTATGTCCTTTAATAAAAACCTACTGCCCAAGAATATGTCAGACAAAGATTTCAAAATATACAGAAAGTACTGGTGCAAAGTACAGCGGCTATGAATCACAGGGCAGCGAAGCCGGAGAGATCTGAAAGATATTCCACGCTGATTTGTAATACGGGCTACGGACGAGATCCGTTCCCTAAATCTGTTTTTTTAGTCAAATTTGTAGGAAAGTCAATGAACCTCTGAAGCCACACAAAACAGTCTCTGCGTTCCTAATTACAAACCATTATATTTAACTCAGTTTTTTAATATAACAGTGGCAGTCCCTTCGTAAGTACGAGTGGGCTGTAAGTCAGACTTTCTTAAACCCAAAGATTGCCTGTACTTCCTAGCTTTGGTAGTGCGACGCTCTCTGCATTAGCTTTGTACGGTTCGGTAGATTCTGAAAGGGAATTGAAGGTCGACATGTCCGCACATGGAGATCATTATGATAACTGCAGATGTTTAAGGGACCGCAGGAACAGCGAGGCAGCGCAATATTAATCATTCAGGGCGTATTGAGCTTCTGGGTTTGAGCCGTGAACAAGCTCCATGATGTCTTGCTCTAAACTCTTATGATGTTATAACCTGTGTAGCAGCCCGATGTCCACTGACAGCAATTAACGTCATAAAATAAAAGACTTTTTATTTTGTTGCTTCTGGCAGATTTGCAGTGCTGGGGCTTTGAGGGTGATCACTTCCTGTCCAGCCCACT